CCGTCAGAGTCGGTGGCATAAAAAATCTTCTTAGGCCATGAATCAGATTGTTGGGACTTTGAAAAGCCTCCATGTGGGAGCAATAATACGTCATTGTCCACAGATACACGGGACGCAGCCGTAATCTACAGATTTCCAGGGTGAGGAAATATGGATGTTTGTAAAAGCACTTAAGGGATTAGACAAGGTTTTCTACCTCCTGCTGTACGTGGCCTGAGTCATGCTGAGAGACCATGTCTCTGTCAGAGCTCTGCTGCTGCTGCTGCTGCTGAACTATTCTGATCTGATCCAAACTGATCTACTGATTTACAACATCCAGTAGGAAACACCTGAGCAGGGAGTGTGTGATGATGATGATATCTGTGGTTTCCTGGTGAATATCCAGGGATTACTGCTGCTTAATTAGTCCTAAAGTCATTTACCTTGAAATAATAGTATTATTAGTTTGGATGTGATGTTTATTCCAGTTAAGCACATTCTGAACAGAGAAAGGTTACACTGTAATCCAATTAACTAAAGGTTTTACCAGTATTAAAACAGCCATGTAGGCAACGGGTGAATTTTCTGTTAAATTTGTGCTGAACACCAGATCACATTAAAGACTATAATAATAAACTGAAACAAACAAAATAATTATTTTTTGTTCGTTAGATTTTGTTAACAATCAGAGTGTAGTTATGTCTTTTATAGCATATTTAAAATTGTGACACATTTGTTAAACAATTTTCACACAATCATAGATTTAACACAACCTGACAAGAAGTTTAAAAAAAAACCAAAACATTTTATCCTAAAACCTTTTTGTTCTGGAAGTTTAAAAAAAACATTTTATCCTAAAACCTTTTTGTTCTCAATGCATATCACAAACCAACGTCAGGCACATTACTGCCACCTGCAGGGCTGTAATGTTTGCATTAGAAGAGTTTAGGCCTTGTTCCACCCACAGCTAACAACTCCTTTAATTACTTCTCTGTAAATATTTTCATCAAACTAAACAGTTTGAGTTTGGCTCCAGAGCTTCATAACATTTCTTCTCCAGAACAAACGGCCTCCTTTATGAGAAAAGACACGCTGTTGTTAATGATTTTATAAGCAGGGAGCCCACCTGACATCCTGTTTTCTATTACTGTTCTTTATTCAATTTGGAGGCCACGCTGCAGGTGACCTAACCTATAAAAGGCCAAACTAAAGTGAATTATCCAGGCTCCTTGAAATTTTATAAATTCAGAATCGGCCTCACAGAGGGATTTCATAGCAGAAACTAATGACTTCACCTTTAGCTGGGCATAAATCAATCTCACCAAAGGTTAGAACACATCATGCCAGGACTTATCAATGCAGCTTTTAAGATCATAACATGTACTCTGTCTGAGGTGTAAAAGGCAGCTGCACCAGGTCATATGTGGAGGAACTGTGTGTACTTGTACTTGAATGTCTGTAGTAGAGTATGACTATAAGTATACTCTACTATAAGTACTGCATCGTGGATACTGATATTAATTAACATAAAGGTAGAAATGAACAGCGATTAAAAAATGTATTAAAAGTTTTTGTTTTTTTGACTCACGACACTGTAACCACATGATGTCATAGCAGTCACACTAATTACAACTGATTAATTATCAACGTCATAAACAAATTTAATCCAGACTAATTGATCCACTGGTGGTTCAAATCCTGGTCATCTCTCTCCGCTCCTCTCTTTATCCTTCACAGAACACTGGTTTCTCCCCAGTAACGTTCAGTCTGCGTCTGCAGCCTAACGAGCGGCTGCTGCCAGTCAAAACCGCCGCACTAATCAGTGACACTTGTTGTACCTGAGAACATGGAAATTTTAGGCTACTGTATGTTCAAAAAAGAATAAAAAATGTCCTTTAAGAATGTCTGAAATATGGATAGGATCATTGGAGTGTGTTCAGTCGCAGCGCTCGTTTGAAGCAGTGGAGCGTGAAGGAAACTCGTTTGTATCTGGCAGCCAATCTTTGAAGAAAGAGCCTCTTTTTTTAAACGTCCTCTCCACGAGGAAAAAATTGGAGAAAAAAAACTGAAAATCTCAAAGTAATTAGTTTGAATTGTCGTCGAGTCTGTTTTCAGAAGTAAAGCTGTTCATGAAAATGTGTCGTCAAAACAATTCATTTCTTCAGTGTGAATGTGAAGATAAGACACTTAGATAAAAAGAGACTCAAATCTTTAGGTGTTTTTCTTTTTGCCAACATCATGTATTGATGATAAAAAGAGGCCGAGGTCCAGTGATAACCTGCCATACAGTGAATTCACCTTTATTTTATTTTTAATGTTTTTTGACTGGTTTAATTATAACTGGTCCATAATAATAAAATAATGTTTATTAATTTATCTTTTCAGGGTCTGAGCCTCATAATCTAATAAAATAAAAACACCAGAGAACATCCTTAAAAACACATGTTTTTATACAACTGTTATTTTCCTGCTTCTCATTAACGGGCATTTGTTTATCACCCAGTAAATAAGTAAATATATATAAATATATATAGTCAGAGCTGGTTGGCCGTCACACTGATGTGTTTATTTACAGCATCTATTATAATGTGGTAAACATTGACCTTATTTGGGGCTAAATATAAAAATATAAATAAATCATTGTCATTTTTGGTAAATGTCACATGAAAACATTAGATAAATAACTTGTTCATATGAAATAAAATGTATTATTATTATTATTATTATTATTATTATTATTATTATTATTATTATTATTATTATTATTATTATTATTATTATTATTATTATTATTATTATTATTATTATTATTATTATTATTATTATTATTATTATTATTATTATTATTATTATTATTATTATTATTATTTTAACCCTTGTGTTTTGGTGTTTTTACTTTTAGTAGTTATATTTTTACGTAAAGATTATTTATCCCTAATCTGAAAAAGGAGGATTTTTTTTAGCTAAAGGTTTGTTATTTATCTTTTTCTCTGGTGAAAATTAAGACTTTGGTTTAAATAATGTTTTGATATCCAGATGTTTTAAAAGTCAACTTAAATTTTAATTTTGATCTAAAAAATAAAAAATAAAGCACAGATTTTTTGTTTCATATTTAAATGGACTTTAATTTTAATTTTGATCTAAAAAATAAACCACAGATTTTTTGTTTCATATTTAAATGTTACATAAGAGCCAGGCTGTGTGTTCAGTAACAGTCCAGTTGTTTACTTTATTCTTCTCATTGTTTAAACGTGAGAGGAAGTCGTAACTAAACTCAAAGGCCAGCGTTCTGAGCCAGACTCTGCGTCGGCTCTGAGAAAAGTCAACAATGTGTAGCAGCAGAAATGGATTCTTTAGACTTTGGTCTCACTGAGCGTCAGTAAAAGTACAACCTCAAAGGTATCAGGTCATAGTAACTGGAAGTACTGCAGTACAGTAAGAACCTAAATCTGACTGAAAGAAGGTTTGATGATGACGTCATGATTATTACAGACAAAAATAACCACAATTAACTGTAAAAGTTAAAAACCCTTCAGTGACTTCAGTAACTGCTCTGTCAAACTGAGTTAGAAGAGTTAAAAAGTACACACACACACACACACACACACACAGAGCTGGCATCTTTGAACCAAAACAGAAAGCACATTTCTTGCTTTGTGCTCTAAAATATTCAGAGGTCAAAGTTCATCTGTGTGGCGTCCTCTGATCACGGCTGAACATCAGGCCAACATCAGGGCAGATGTGTCAAACAGATCCTCCGCTGGAGTTACTATTCCAAATGTCAGTCACACACACACACACACACACCCACACACACGTGCACAGCTCAATCCTAGCGTGAACATTTCCATATCCATTAGGGAGGAAAGCAGGAGAGGAAACATTTACACAGCACAGCCTGCGCTCAGTTCAGGTTTTTCTTCTTCTCTCTAACGTTACGGTGGAGCCCACGAGCTCCGGTGAGAGCCTTACAAATGTCTGCCTAAAAGAGATATTTCCTGAGACAAAAAAGCGTAGGAGGAAGGCAGTAATCAGCTCAGGTTTGTTCTCCACATCATCACTTCCTTCCTCAGTGTTGGAGTGTCAGAGTGAAACATTCAGACATGTTTTTCAACAGGACAGTGAAGGCATGCACTGCTAATGCTGGATTCAAACAGCTGCCTTTCTCTGCTATAAACTGAACGCCCTGCCGCAGCGATTCAAACCGCCTCCGCAGACTGCAGTACAGTCAACAAAGAACATCTCTGCCGAGGGAAACCATTCATCACTGAATGAGTTTGTCTGTCAAAAACGTGAAGGTGATTTTGAAAAGATCCCAGTTCCACCTGAACACTCACTCCTTTCTCTCCCCTCGGTTTTGGACCAAAGTCACTGCTTTACATTAGAATTCATGCGACTACGTGGGTCCAGGCCCGGTCCACTTTGGACAGACTTCAAATCTACAGTTTTAAGTTAGTGAGGTTCTTACAACACTGTTCTCCGTGGCCCTGCTCATTTCTGTCAGGGAGAACGGGGTCATTGGTCCGTGGCAGGTGTCAACGTGCCGCGACTCAAACGGTTTGTTTTACGGCTTATCTTTAAAGGACACACGGAGACCGCGGCAGCAGCCCTGCCTCACGGTGGTGTTCACGGAGGCACTGCTCTGCACTGCAGAGGTGCAGGGTTCGATCCTCAGACGTGTTGTTGCTACTAAGACCTTAGTCGTCAAATTAGCCTCCAACGTGTGGAATATAAAGTGTTTTTATGAACCACAGTTTTCAAACGACAATAAGGAACATGAAGTGAGTGTGAGAATGAGCACCGAGTTAGCGTTTGATCTAAAAACAAAATGGCCGTCAAATTAGCCTCCAACGTGTGGAATGTATGGAATATACGTGTGTGTTTTTATGAACCACAGTTTTCAAACTCTTTTCCCAAATGTCATATAAAGTCATCTTATTCTATTCTGTTCTGTTCTGTTCTATTCTTCTAAGTGGAGGCGGCCTCCGTCACTAAAGTTCTATCTGTTTGTGTCAGGTTTGTCTGGAGAGGAAGCGACGGAGAGGATGAGGAGAAGACACAGCGCTGGAATGTGTGGGAGTTTGTGTAGAGTCTTCTGAGGAAGGGAGGGTTGGTCCCTGACTGAACTGAGTGTGTGTTGTTTCGGCCTGTATTCACTCTGACCACCGTTGGTGCTGGACTGAGAACAAAGACAGGTCACAGGGGTCAAAGACAGCAACATTAATGAGAGCGTCAACAACAACTCCAGAACAGAATCCAAATGAAAGATCATTTCAGTTTGAATTCAAGGAAGTAAAAAAAAAACAAAAACCATTTCATTGCGAGTGTGAAGTTACTGAAGGAACCAGGACACTTGTTTTTGAAAGTGGATTAAAGGCCAAGACAGGAAGGGCCGGGTTTAAGGGAAACAGGAAACCTGATGCGAGGAAACGGAGCACGTCAGCAGCCAGCCCACTGCAGTCTGTACTAAAAGTCAAATCCAGACACAGTTCAAGTATGGAGTCTTTGTTCAGGTCACCAATGAAACTGGTTCTTTTGACAGGTACGTACCGTTAGCTTATCTTGGCTTTGACACGGAGGGTGTTGAGTATCGACGAACGGAGGATTCATTTGAAATGATCTGTTTCCTATAATTAACGGTCGAAGTGTTTTCCACCAGCCTTACATCGGACGGTTAGAGTTTATCTATTATTTAGATTTTTACTGAGTTTAAAACTGCATGTGTTAGCGTTTGTTTCAGCTGGTTGTTTAAAGTTGTTTAAAACACACTGAACATCCAGATTTTGGAACAGGTTAACACACTGAACATCCAGATTTTGGAACTAAACCGAAGTTCCAGTGAAAATGATGTGGAATATAAATGCCACGGTTCCCAGTAACCCTGCTCTGTTTCTGTCCCTCCTCCTGTCTGCTCACTGCACAGCATGGCTCTCCAGTCTGATGGACCCATGCAGTCTCTCTGACATTTGCAATTCTTGTCACACCAATGCTGCGTGCAAAAGCCTGAACGGATCAAACGCCTGCCTCTGTAAACATGGATACACTGGAGATGGAATGACGTTCTGCAACGGTAACAAAACACGCAGAGGACACGTAGGATTTTTACAACAACGACAACAACTGTCTGTAGGATTTTTACAACAACGACAACAACTGACCCCCAGGTTCTTCCCAAATCTCCAATAGTCGCAGGAAATGTCACTGTTTTATGACCAACTATATCCTAGTATATGATATAGATGTATATCTTTAGTCAGTGGTTCATTTGTTTGGCAGTGGTAACAGGAAGAAGGAGAAAGATCTAGACCCGTGTAGACGCAGGATAAAAACACACAGATACGGTGACACACACACCAACACACAGATACGGTGACACACACACCAACACACTGCGGTTCATATCCAGACTACTGTGTAGACTGATCTGGAACTTCTGAGAACTCCTTTTCACCAATACTATTCACAGTTCAAAACAAAGCAGCAGTATGAGAGCAACACCGACCATGTAGAAAGAAAAGAAAAGTAAAGTGAGAGGATGTTGTTTTAGTCCAATCCAAGGTTCAAACCAAATGAAACACGGTCTTTACATCACTGTACGACATCAAAGGAGTTCATGTGATGTTTTTGGGTGAAGTGTTTGTGCAGACGTGATGGGTTAGGGGTTCTATGTGTCACCAAGGTATTTCCTCTTCAAATAAAAGGATCTGACTCACCAGAGCAGAGGATTTCCCTTCAGGACAGGACCAGTGAAAACAACTGTGGAGGGTCTCCTCGTCAGGTCAGGGAGAAACTGAAGCTGGACCACGACGGTGCTGCTGTGTCCACCTGCACAAACACCAAACCTGTTTTAGATACATGAAGTCAGACGGCAGCAAACAATCAGAGAGATGAAGTGGAGGAGGACAGCTGAGGCTTTAATCAGACCACTCTGATGGCTGAGCTCAATTAGGTTCAAGTCCTGCAAACCCACGTTACTAAAAATACTCTGGGTCTCAGGCAAAGACAGCGTCGTCTTTGTGTCTCCCTCGACTCACTGAGACACCGGTCCAACGACACCGGGAGTAAAAAAAGGAAAGAGAAACTGATTGTAGCTGAGACGAGCTCCACCAACACTGAAAATGTTGAAAAAGATGAACATATTCTGTATGTACTGGTTATAGGCAGTACGTCTGACTGGCACAATATGATTGGATTATGGTACAACACATGGTCACTGCTACAAACTACAGATTTAATGACTCATGATCTAACAGCACTAACTGATTAATGGACACCCTCTGTTCCAGGTTGTGGAGTTCAGGTTCAGGTTCAGGTTCAGGTTCAGGTTCAGGTTCAGGTTCAGCAAAAATATTCTGATAAATGTACAGGTTTTGTGGCCGTATGTAATGCTTCATATTAAACACTCATTCATGTAGTAAACCCAGCTGAACTTAAAGAATGAACCAAAGTGTCTTCTTCCTCACACACCAGTGTTGACTCTGTGTCCTCGTGTCTTCACCACAGATGACGACGAGTGCCAGAATGTGACTAATATCTGTGGAGACAGAGGGACGTGCACCAACACGGTGGGCAGCTACCAGTGTAACTGTGTCTCTGGATACAGGTCCACGGGAAACACCACCTTTCTGCCAAACGACGGCACAGAATGCCAGGGTAAAGTCACTCACTGGGGGCGCTGTAACCAAACTGCAGCGGTTACATCAGTCAGTCAGGGAGCTGAGTCAGGAGCACACTGAGTGTGTGTGTGTGTGTGTGTGTGTGTGTGTGTGTGTGAGTGAGAGTGGAGGACACAGAAAGATGTGTTTTCTGTTTTCAGGGTCTTGACAAAGACAAACACGATGAAGGTGATCTTCAGTTGCTCTCTGACCTTTCACATCTGCATTTCTGAGAAACCACACATTTTGCTCCATTTGTGCTGGAAAAAAAAACATCATTTCTCACTGCAGCGTAGCTGAGGTTCCACCACGGTGGTCCTGATTTGGTTTGGTTTTATCTAGCAGGAAAAATAGAAGTTTTATAGCTTAAAGAAAAAAAATATCTGCATTAAGGACATGTTGGCAGTGCACGAGCATGTGTGGTGTTAGCATCATGCTAGTGCTGTTTACTGTAAGAGTCAGTCGACACCGAGGCCAAAGTGAACCTGTGGGAGTGGATTCACTGTTTCTATTTACCACTAAAACAGTATACAGTGTGTATATACTGTACACTGTATATATATATACTGTATATATATATACAGTAAACCCTTGTTTTTCGCGGGGGTAGAAATCTTTATTTTTTTTACAATTAAATACTCAGAAAAAGAAGAGAAAGAACGAACAAACCATTTTACAGTCTCAACCATTTGTTTCACAAATAAAGTAAAATAAAAGTACTTTAGAAACATTT